ACGTACTGACTGTGATGAAAATAATGTATGACATGGTAGCAGTGATATGTCATTCATGCTTGGAAGCAGAAATGTGATGCGTATAATGTATGACATGGTAGCAGTAATGTGATGCGTATGCTAATGCTAGCAGTAACATGCAACCCCCCAAGTCTGAGCCGAATATTTATATACGGGTCGGACTTGAAGTACCATTGTGATAAAGTTGATGTAGAGGCGATGCTTTGAATGTAAATAGCATAGGCGACAAGGGCGATGCGTTGGATGTAGCAGTAATGCTCTGATTGTAGTAGCAGAGACGATGCTTAGCACATAGTAGCAGAGGCGATGCTCTGATAGCAGAGGTTGTGCTTTGGACTGAATATAAGTAGCTGTACTGATACTGAAGCATATTGATGTATACCAGCCATTGACTTTTTAATAGCAACTAAGTGTATGGTTGCTGTTGCGGTTATAGGTTTAGCTGTCTCTACCGAAACGCTGACTCATAGGATGATGCATGGGAGATGCTAAAGGTTGTGAAGCTGAAGGTCGGGACACATCTTAGACTGAGGTGCTGAAGCTTCAATGCGTGCTTGAGAAAGTAGCTCATCTGCGATCGATGCGGGAGATGGTTGAAGCTTTGTAAAGTTTAGGAAGGAACACAGCTACTGAGGCGATGACCCATAGGGGACTCCGCGTCAGGTGCATCTAAACTTTGTAAAGTTGAATAAGGAGCTCGTCTGTGATCGATACGGGAGATGGCTGAAGGTCGGTAAAGCTTTAGCAACGCTACAGCCGAGGCGATGACACATAGGGGACTCCGCGTCGGGAGGGTTGAAATTTTGTCAAGCTGCGGACAGTATTTGGTGAGGTGGGAGATAGACGTCTCGCGAATAAGTCTCGAACTATCATAGGCTTAGTGACTTGCCTCGGAATGACGAGGACTTAGAGTCAAGCTCGACAATAGTGAGAAGTGAGGAAAAGACATCTCGCGAAGCGAGGGATGAACATCTAACGAAATGTCGAATTATTGGAGTTTTATAAGCTGACCTTAGGTGGACGAGGGCTTAAAACTAAGCTCGATGACAGCGAAATGAGGAAAAGACATCTCACGAAGCCATGAATAAATATCTAGCGAACTGTCGAACTATCAGAGTCTTAGTGGCTTGCTTCGGAATAATGAGGATTTAGAGCCAAGCTCAACGATAATGAGGCGAGGAATAGTCTCGCTGAGCCAGGGATAAGCATCTGGCGAAGCTGGGAATAGACATCCTGCATATAACTGTCGAACTATTGGAGTCTTAGTGGCTTGCCTCAGAATGATGATGACTTAGAGCCAAGCTCAAGGATAGTGAGGCAAGGTATATAGTCTTGCTGAGCCAGGGATAAGCATCTGGCGAACTGTCGAACTCTGGGAGACTTATAAGCTGGTCTCGGATATATGAGGACTTAGAGCTAGGCTCGATGATAATGAGGCGGGGAATAAGCATCCCGTGAAGCCAGGGATAAACATTTGGCGAAGTGTCCAACGATCAGAGTCTTATAAGCTGGCTTCGGGTAAACGAGGACTTAGAGCTAGGCTCGACGATAATGAAGAGGGGAATAAGCATCCCGCGAAGCTAGGAATAAACATCTGGCGAAGTGTCAAACAATCGGAGTCCTATAAGCTGGCCTTGGATAAACGAGGACTTAGAGCTAGGCTCAACGATAATGAGGCGAGGAATAAGCATCCCACGAATAAGTCAGAAAATGCTCCTTTTGCAAGGGTGAACACATCTGACAATTTGCCTCGTCCTTTATTCAAGAAACAAAGACTTCAAAAAATATACCTCTTCCTTTATTCAAGGAACGAGGACTTATAATATATCGTCTCTTCCTTTATTCAAGGAATGAGGACTAATAAAATTCTGTTTGGTATATTAAGAAATCTACGAGCTGGGGCCCATCTTCAATAAATAAAGAATTCACAAGCTAGCCTTGATGTGTGAGGGCTCGTCCTTAATAAATAAGGAAACTGTATCCTGCTAAATCATGCTCCAATCCTAATGGAAGTAAGTGGTCTATTGAAGACTTTAAGAAAAACCCATGTCTAATTGGTGACCTCGAACTAATATATTTCCAAGCATTAATTCTACATTTTATTGCCCTTGTTTGATTGTGGGTAGAAGTTTCGTGTGATGGCAATTTCAAAATTTGTAGGTAAAAAACAGCTTACAACCATATTGCTATGAACGACTAGTGCACTTTGCTTCGGCCGATTTTCTCTTTTCATACACGACGCCATTGACATGGGCCACTGGAGGAGAGTAATTATTGAATTAAAATAATTAACATGGGCACCAAAATTTACCTCATGGATCTGCCCAGGTTAATTGTAGAGGTCGAAGTAGAAGAACCCAAAAGAATTGAAGCCTGGAAGGGCATAAGTTTGGAAGAGCCGAAGTGTCCACCAAGCACAAATGCTTTAGTATAATAAGAAGAGTTGTGGGCCAAGACAAAATAAATTTTTGAGTCCAATATTAGTGTGGTCCAATAAATCCTAGAGGCCCAATTATTTGTACCTATTACTGAACCTCGATTAGAGATTTTCAAGGCCTTTTGCTTTGTCAACAATTGGGCCAAATTCGGAAATTAATATCCAGCTATTCAATTGGACAATTCAGCCCAACAAGAGGACAGCAAGCTGCACGTGAAGTATCTAAAATTTGATGGAAATTTGACTGCAAAAGCCTACCCATCTAATGCTAGCAAAAGTCTTGAAAAATCTGAGATTGAGAGCTCGTTTTGCACGCCACCATCACTGTCACATTCAATGCTAATCTAAGGGACAAAATAGAAGAGGAGATCGGAGACCACCCATCATCTACGACTTCAACGGTCTTGGCCGAAAGTGACAAACTGCAAGGCTGCCAATGCTTCATTTTCTACCATCTGTTGTCATGGCAGTGGAGAAAATGGCTGTAGTTTTTGGTGCTGAAATCAATGTTTTGGACCGCTGTAGAAATACTTAGTTGCCGAAATTAGTCGTCCGACTGTGGTTTTATTTTCTTGTAGCAATGGGGTGAAGTCTTGACTGTTTGTTGGTGTCTTTCTTCTTGTCATTGGCTTCAATTTATGAGTAAAAGATTCCCTTATTTGCTGGAAAATATTCGACAGATTTATTGTTTTCATTTGGGTCTTTTTTGTCTTGTTTGCTGTTAGGTTTTCTCAAAAATATGGTGAATAATTTTGGCAATAAAGGGGGTGGGGGAGGGTAAAAAAGCATCTTTTTGACATACCCACTGTGCAAGTTTATTGGATAAATGGCCACTTCTTTCCTTTCCCTTTCTTTTTCATCGTGGTTGCTTTGTGGTTCACTTGCTGCTACCTTCATTTTTGCCGGAAAACCCAAGTTCGGGCCAGCTTCCAATAGCCATGCTACCTTCATTTTTGCCGGAAAACCCAAGTTCGGGCCAGCTTCCAATAGCCATTTCATGGTGGGTTTATTCAACCCCTTGGCTGGCTTTTTCCATTCATGCCGAAAGTTCCCTTTTTCAAGGAAATTTTTCAAATGGTTCAGCTGCCAATTTTTCTCCTCCGGTTGATGATGTCTTCTGCCAGAAATAAAATTGTTTTTAGAAATGTTGCTGCCTTCTCTCTTTTGGTAGAACACTGCCACCCGAATATATTTCAATTTTCGACGACCTTTAGGTATGTTGTATAACATGGTGAACGTAGCATTTCTAACAGACGACGCCAATCTGTTGACCTCCAAAAATGACTCAAACGGGTTCCCTAGCTTCGTCCCCTCGAAACCTGCGCAAGTAGCACGCCGTCAAGAAGCAAAGGCAGTCGGACGAGAAGAAGGTCCGACGACCGTTTGCACTCCGACGGTCAAGTCAACAGTCGGACGGAGATAGATATATAGAGTGCAATAGTATGGAGATGGGGGTTTGGCTAGAGAGTGTAGAACATACCTTGATTGTGTGAGTTGAATCCATATATATAGAGAAATGGAAGTGAAGCGGGCCAAACGGGTTAGTGGGCCTAAATCTGAGCCCAATACGAGGTGAACAAAATAATAGGCGCCTTGGCAGGCGCTTCGGTTAGACTTCTTAGGGCCTCGACTGCACCTTGATTGGCCTTGTCAGAGCCTCGGCCTTGGGGCCCAACACTAATGGGCCTGATTCGAGTCCAATAAGATGATCCAATATGAAGTGATAATTTATAAGTATAACAGAAACAATACTACCACCAACAATCACAACCACCATGCGAAAATAAATGAAACAGAGGCGAAAGAAAACCCCAAAAACCACCACAAAACTGTATTTTCCCAAAACCACCACAAATCGCATAGCAACTTCATACTTTCCCAAAACCACCGCACATCCATGTGACCAGCATGAATGTCACTATGCACTGCGATTGCAGGCGCGATGCTACACAGCAACTTGTGAGGTCGCAACGCGCGTCACGACAACTTGCACGGCTCTGTACATAGAGAGTCACAACTCGCTGCTACGTGCACCGCCATGCACTGCAGATCGGTGATGCCATTCATACAATTAGTCATCGATCTGCAGTGCCAGAGAAGAAAGAAGCAGATGGGTAATGGCACGGACGGCCATCAATAACATTAGCTAGATCGATGACGCCGCCTAGCATGGCACAATGCTGAGCTGGAGAAGAGAAGAAGATGGGGGCACTGTGATTTTGCGAGTTCCAAGGTTTGGGATGTTATAATTTAGAGGGAGAAACTCGCGGATAGAGACAGAAAAGAGATGAAATGTTTGGTTGAGCTGGGGTGGGGTGGGGTTATTGGGTAGACTTTATAATATCATTATTAATGTTAATATTAGATTTGATTTTATGATATTATTATTCATTGCTGGTGATTTGTTGGATATCAAAACCCAACATGATCGACCTCAAATTATTAGGTGTAAGCCTTGATTTTCTGTTGTGGTATATGCTTATCTAAACGTCCACAAGAAAACTTTCATGAACTTCTCTGATATTCTACGTTAAAGTGTCAGGAAGTTCTAACGTCAATAAAACTTATATGAAAAAACTGCTTACATTTGAAGTTCCATTAAAAATCTCTCCTTAAAAGCACCAACATTCAGATCATAAACACATCGAATACAGAAATCAACACCACTCTACATAAAGAGAGTTTTAAAAGAATGCTCCCCCGAAAAAAGAAAAAAAATCAAATAAGAAACGGGAAAACAAACTGTCACAAGTACTTATACAGCCTCGGATCTTTTCTTGTTAAGTTTGTCATTTGTACTTCAAGTTCAGAACTATGCTTTGGTTGAACAACAAGAAATTAGTATTTAGTATCCTTGAACCTGGAGGCGAAAAAGAAAAGAAAATCAGAATATGGAGAATTTCGGTTGATTTCAAGCCTAATTATAGATATTGTCTTTGGTAATTATGTTTTCACTCACCTCGATTCCGACGATGGATCTGCAGTAATTGGTGTTAGTAAGCACAGTGCTGCTTGATCCACACTCACTGTCCTTGAGTGACACTGCTGATCTATCAAGCTTGACTGACCAACGGTGATGATAATTCTGAGCAGTCGAACCAACGTGAGATGTTGATCGTTGCATTCGGACTGCCCGGGGGATGTTCCTTCCTTCAAGAGACGGTCTGCGCCTGTTGTAGGAACAGAGACAAATGATGAACGATGTCAGTTCTCTCTTAATGAGAGACAACACATATATAGAGCATTTAGACTCTTCTATTTAGGGTACTAAACTGAAATCAATAGTAATCATCTAATACCTGCTCGGTTGCCTCTCTAAGGATTCAACAGGACGTTGCTTGGGCGCACTGTGTGAACGCACTTTAGCCCTTGAAGATTCTGTATTGGCCATATAGTTTGGATAAAATGGATACTCATTGTAAAGGGATTCTGCGTATTCTGATCGAGGATGAGGAGACGGATTTCTTGATGGATCAGGTTTGGAGAAGGCCGAGTAACACTGAGGGCTACTCTGTGCTGTATTGAATGGGTATTCCTCGAAATGACCACTACATGCTTTTGGACTCATATCAGTTATGTTTGAGGGTGCTGGTGAGATCTGATTATGGTTGGGTTTTGCGTATGCGTTGTTGTGCATGGGAATTCTGTGCTCGGCTTTCTCTATTTGTCCATAGTTTGAATAGCTGTTTCTACCCTTTGTGCTTGGCCTTGAGTCTCCAAGATCCATTTCCACTATCTTGATGTTCTCTTCAAAATCCTACATCACATCAATAAGGTAAGCCAATTCTTGTAACAATGTCAGCAGATAGAATTCGACCAAAGAAGTTGAAATTGACACTTTTCCTTCACTTTATACGATCAGATCTATAACTATTTTGAAGAACAGGACAAAAGGTAATTGTTGGAGGGATTCTTACTTGATTTGAGGGCCTAAATCTATTCTCTCGTGTTGATTTTCTATGATTGAATTGCATTTGATTGTTGGATTGTGTTGTTTCTTCAGCCACTCGGATTCTTTGGGCTCGAGCTCTTTCTTGAACAGTCACCAATGCCTGCATACACTTAAGTGTAGCAGTGGCCTGATTTCTTACCAAATGCCCTCTAACCAACGCCTGCAACTTCACTAAGCCTTTTAGTGCATTCAAAGCTTTTCTTGCCTGAAAAAGATGTTACAGATTAAGCTCTAATTCCTTCTTGTGAGAGCATATAAATAGAATAAAATCGAAAATCAATCAAAGTAAACACACTGAATTATTGTGGCTCCATCGTGATGTGAAAGTTACATTCATTTGACGCCGCAGGTTCTCAAAAAAGGAGTCAGGATTTCTCCCTCTTCAAACCGTCAAAACCGGGTTCCCATAATTCTTCATGTAGTTGGAAAATTAAAGCAATCTGATATATGTATGGAATATATAGAAGGCCAATACATAAATGGGGAAAAAGTGTACGGTATGAATAGACTCCACGAATTCTAACATTGGAACAGTATGGGTCAACCCACGGACGAGTGGAAAGTATAGAGTATGATTAGATTCGAAACAGACCAACAATTGATAAGAAAAGTATTGAGTTTGATTAGGCTTTGTAAAGTCCAAGAAAAGAGCACTTATATATGGATCAGTTCCTACACCAAAAAATTGAAAAATTCTATGGTGTTCAATATCAAGTAAATTGAGTAAAGATTGTAGAGTTCAAGAATTACATACCAAGTACCCACGAAAAATAGACTGAATCTTGATTGCAGCAGCCTCTTCAACAGCAGATGCTCTCCCAGAGGCAGCAGTCGTTAGCTGGATCATTGCGGCGGCAGCCTTGGCGGCTGCCACGGCAGCATCCGCAGCTGCTGCGGTGGCCGCGGCCACAGCCAACGCATGTTTTTTGGGATCACTCTCCAATTCCATTGCCGCTGCTTGTGTACATGGTGTGGCAGTAATAATGTCTCCAGAATTCGATTCCTGCTGCCCCGGGGCAGCAGCGGCCGACGACCTGCGAAAACTCCACCGCCTCTTCTCTTTCGGGGTCGTCGGCAGGATTGATATAGGAGTTGTTGGATGCTGCTGATTGCCATTTCCAGAAGAAATGTGCAGATTAATTGCGTTATTCTTCTCTTTCTCCTTATCTTTCTTTCCTGTCAAGAAATTCCTTATCCACTTGCTCGTCTTCCCCATTTCCTTTCACTGTTTCCTATTCTTCTATGTAAGATTGGATCAGAAAAAAGGGATCGGAAAACGAAAGAAAGCAACAAATGAGAAGGGATTTTCTTCAGTTTCTCTCCTGTTCTGTCTTTATCTAATATATGATCAGTAGCTTTCGAAATAATTAAGGTCTTTATTGTTGGATCAGAATATTTTTACTGTTTTATTAATTGAACGTTCTTTGCACTGACATAGCATATATGGAGTGATGGAGAGGAAAGAGAGAGGAAACTCCCACTTGAAACTCTTCAAATAATATTGATATATTCTTTAACTGTAGCAGCATATGTTTGGCTAAACTTGTTTAAAAATAGTAACTTCCAAGTAAATTCATTTTTTAATAATGTTTGGATGAGCTACAATTTTATGTACTTATAAGTAAAGAAATTACTTATTTTGGCAGACGGTTCTTTTTAGTAAGAAATTGGAGGGGGTGAAACAGAGACTGAGTGTTCTGGTGACTACCAGGCTGCTGTTGGATTATCAGAAGCCATGTGAAATTGGGTGGAGGGAGATGCCAAATTCCTGTTAAAATAAAAAATACAAAAATAAAAAGTAAAAAATAAATTCTGTCTGGAAGATAGGATCTTCTTCTATTCTAATATAGGTGGGGACCTATCATGCTCATGGTCTTAAATTTCTTTGTCTCTCTATAATGGTTTTATTTGATTTGGTATTGCTACCATACATGATTTCAGAGAGTCATGATGATTATCTTTCTTTACATTTTTGTCATTTTGATTTATTATTGGTTGGGTAAGAGTGTTGAATTATGTTATAGTAATATAATGGTTGACATAATCTTTTAACATAATATCACATAACATTATATTATTCAACAAAGTCATGAGTACAGAAAAATTCTAACAGGACTTGTATCTACATTGATGTTGCAAAACATGATTAGATTTTTTTCTTTTATTCTCATCTTCTAATGATGTCGCACCATGCGTTGTCTATAAAATTTTTCTGTTAAAAAATCATGTACCTATAGCATTGTTCTATATTATTGGATTGTTTAAAATACGATCAACTTTTCCATCCAGTCATATCTAAACAATACGATCAACTTTTCCATCCAGTCATATCTTATCAATATTTATTCTGTCAAAGCATATGTTCATATATTTCTATCAAGAAGGCTTTACCCAAGGGTATTTGTATTCTATCGTTGTGGTTAATTTTGAGGCACTCGTATATTTATGTCATTTTGTTATGATGACATCGAATGCCATCAGTTGGAAGCACTAGGATTCGACTATTGATTGGACTTGTAATTAATTCAAAATATTAACTAAATCCTTATTTTAGCCCCATTTTTTTTTAAAAAAAATGCATTTTTCAACGGTGTTTTGACATCATTTTAATCGCACATTTTTCAATAAAATAATATTACACGTAAGTTCAAAACTTTTCTTTATTTTTTAACCACACATTTTCCATCAATACACTATTCAAAAATTCATTCTTTCCCAAAAAATAGGGCTCAAACAAGGGCTAAGCATTCACAATAAAACTTCATTTTAAGGGTAAATTATGTCATTTGATGCATAATGTAAGGTAGGTCAATGTGCTAATTATGCCTCGCAAGAATATTCATTCACCCTATATCAATTAATTATGAGTCTTCAACATAAAATTATTCCTTGATTCAAAGTATCATTATCTTCAAAATTTCTTTTTATGTAAATTCCTTTAGAAACTCCTAACCCTACATTAGTGTAGTAGTCACGTTCCCAACCTTTTAAAAGTGTCGTGATATCCTTAATTGACGAAAAATGATTATTTAGACATAAAACGATTATGAGACACACACGTGAACTCTAATTAAAACAATAAATTGTCCAAAAAAAAAGGAGCAACGTAAGTTGAACAATCATTGTTGATTTTTACAATAAGGAAATACTTTTGGACTATTTTACCATTTTTATCATATACTATGAGTGTGTAGCGTGAACATAACATCAAAAAAGGATAAAACTTGCACGGTACTAAAAGAAGGGCCAGGATCCCCCAAAAGTTTTGTAGATTGTTTTTATTTAAAAGTAAAACACAATGATAAAGACTTCCAACTTGTAGACATATAACTTGTTTGTAGCCTAGTGGTAAATTATCATTTTATATAGGAGACAAGATTGTTGAATCCTCACGACCACAATCGTTTTTGTTTCTTTCTTTCTTTAAAAAAAAAAAATAATAATAATAATAAATAAATAAATAAAGAATTGTGCAATTAGTGGACCTATAGGATCTCTGAAAAACTTCATCCCAACTTCTAACATCAATCTTTTCAATCCTCATCATTAAGTTCCATTTGCATATTTAGTCTTTGTTTGAGCCTATTTATCAATAATACATTTTTTTTCTTCAAATTTATTTTTAATTGCACATTCTCTTAATAAAATAATTTTACATGTAAACTCAAAACTTTTTCATACTTTTCAACCCTAGATCATCAAAAGAGTCACTATTCTAAAATCTATTTTTACCAAATAAATGGGCCTAAAACAAGGGCTTATCATTTCTATTTATTTTCATTAACATTAGCATTAATTTTTCCTCCCAGCAGATGCACGAGCTAGTTTGTGGACAGGTAAAGTTGACAAGATATACATGACATATAACATAATCTTTCATATATATGTCATTTTTATTTTCAATACCAATAAATTTATCGTTTACTTCTAATGTCGTTCTCTTTGCCCATTTCCACTAAACTATGGACCACAAATTACCGTAGCATCGTCGACGTTGCTAGTCTCCAAACCAAAAATACTTGATCAGCACTTGTTAAAATGATAGAAACAATTCCAAAAATGAGAGATTTGAAATATGGTTGTCAAACATAAGAAATGATAGGGACGCCGACGAATTTACCCTTGATTTTTTGTAATGTGGAAATTACAAGAGACTTTCCAATTCAAAAATAACATTTATTAGTTTATTTTTCAAAAATCATATTACAATTGATCGTTTTAAATATCATTAATTATATTACAAAAATAAATATACATACTCACCTCAAACCCCCCTAACCATTTTTGCCCTCACTATTATCTCCATTCTCACTCTATTCCAACTCATCTTATCTCTCTATTTCAAGTTTTCAACTACTGGAAGTTGTCGCTAGAAGCCATTGTCGGAGAGCGTTGTCGATGGCACCACTGGAAGCTGTCACTAGGAGTGCCGTCGATGAAGCCGTGCGTCCCACCTTTTCTCCTTCTCTCTATCGCAACCAAGAGAACTACTGCGCATGGCATGAGCACCACTGCAATAACTTCCTCTGTGCACTAGCGACACTGTAACAACGACCGTAGTGCACTGCGGGATCTAGTACATTGCGTGACTGGCTACACAGTAGTGTTCAATGAGTGACGTTGTGGGATTTGGTGCACCTATGCTTTTGCGCGACTTGCCATGCTGTACTATTCGATTTAGTGAAGCCGAAGTTTTTGGGGGTGATTTTTGTTGGTTGTATTTGCAGTTCTTGGCGATGACTGTAGTGGTGTTGATGTTGATGGTGCTCGTGAGGTGGTGGTGAGATTGGTAGTGATCGTAATAATTTTGGATCTGATTCATTGGTAGTGTTTAGGTGGTGGTAGTTGTGATGGTCATGGGTGGTGGTTGTGGGTGGGAGGTGTGGGGTAGGGGTGTTCGTGACATTGTGACCAATAAATCAACTATTTGAGATTGTGACACATAAAGTTAGATATTTTATAACTAATAAATAATATATGGTCTAAAATTTTAAGTTGTGACTTATACAATTAGCAATTTGTGACCCGTAAAATTTTTTATTTGTGATCGAAAAATAATTTATGACTAATTAATTCAATAATTTGTAACCAAACAATATAAAATTGTGACATTAATATATTTAATTAATTAATTATTAAATAAAATTAATTAATATATGATTTTTGAGGTTTTAAACTTTAGTTTTGAAATTGATTATACTTAATCTTTTAGATGTAAAATTTCCCCTTTTGTAATTAGTGACCCCCAATATTAGGTGTTGGGAGGGGTGTCATTTGGGATGTAGCACATGGTCATCAGTTGTTGGACTCTCTCTAGAATTCATTCCGAAAACCCAATTTCCCATGATCCAAGAAATATTAATTATTAGACATTGTACTATACTATAAGAAATATCAACTTCTTGTTATGTGTATGTGATCCATGCATGCATGTGCATGGGCGTACATACATTACAAAGACAAGGGGCTCCACAGGGTTTTAGTTAAATGGGAATTTGACCTCCTTATAGAGACACGGATTGTTGATGTCTTTTTCGATTGAAAGTAACTCTGAAAATATTCCTTTCATGAGAATTCATTTTACATAAATATTGGGTGTCGATAAGACAAACGTCTTCATATGTACAGTGACATAGTTTTTACTTCATATTAATGATTGATAAAAAAGATAACAATATCATCGTGAACCACGAATTGAGACTAGTTCAAAGTGGTGACTCATCCTTCTATCAGCGATGATGTACGCAGTATAATTGCATAAATACTGTAATTATTACAATATATACGGTAAATAAGATAATTACTAAAAATATAAGTTTCTTCAAGAAGTATAAAGTTGTAGTTTAAAGCATTTACTGCGTTTTTTGTTTCATAAAAAACATAAACAAAAACCAATTATTATGTCCATTAATGGAAAATTATTAAGGTTTAAAACTAATTGACTTCCGATTGGACCACTCAAAAATGATTAGTTGGCAATCACATGGTATGTTCATATGCTTTCCTTTGAGCGTGCCATTGGGAAGCACTTGGCCCCTTTCTCTAATAGTCCCGATCGCATGTAATTAAACACAATAGTTAGCGAATATTTAACTTACTAAAAACGTTGTATTGATTTATTTTCACTTGTCACTCGATTAAATAGCCATTACCAACTCCCTCAATAATAATAATAATAATAATAATAATAATAATAATAATAATCAATAACTCTAATCAAAAACCATTGCTCAAAGTAGTGCTTAATTAAGCAGGGACGGATTGGGCGGCTGGGTTGGGCTGCAATCCCTGCACTCAGGACCAAGAACATTTTTTCTAAGGTATTTTTTTATTTTTTTAGTAAAAAACCAATTTTTTATGTGTAATTTATTTATTTATTATTATTTTTGCGTAGTAGCTAGGTTTGAAATCTTATAGCCCGATTTTGAATCCAATCCTAAATTCGTTCCTATAATTAAGTGTG